CAAACCTGGGAAGCAGATGTCAAGCTCACTCCGCTGTCTGCGCTGATCTGGGATCTCTTCTCCTCTGTCTCACCAAGGTCAAAGGTAGGTTTGATTACCTCAGGCCCTGAGTAGGGGAACACGTCTGTGACTCAGAAACCAGCGGCCGGGGCAGGCTGGTGAAGGGCACGGGACAGCAGCATGGCCACCCACGTCCCAGGCACCTTCCCAGAGGCTGCCCCACTGTGGCCCCACCGGGCAAAGGCCCTGGATGCCTTAAGAACCAAGTAGGGCAGATAATATCTGGCCTGCAGTCATCTTCTCAATACGAGAAAATTCTTACCCATCATCCTAAAAAAGGAAAACTCTGCCAACAAATGCCACACATTCCACAGCACTCAGGGTTGGGGCCTCACTGGTCCTGACACCATTTGAGGGTCCCCAGGCCACTCAGTGCTTCCCAAAAGGAGGTGTGAGAGGAATAAGGAAGAGACAGGCCCCGTGAGTAGAGAAACGCCGGCTTCGTCATGGACACAGCCTCACTCCCACCCTACGACTCCTATGTTTGAAGCAAAACCACCCATGTGGCCCCCCCAAACACCCACCATGGTATGGCAGAAGGACAGAATGACAGAAAGCAAGAAAGCGTGCCTAGGCCAGCCACCAGAGTTGGGCAGCTACAGACTCAACACAGAGGGACAGCAACCATCTCTGCCAACTGTGCCCACAGGCCTAACCGGTGCGGGAGGTGTCAGCCAATGAGGGGCACTGAAAATAGCAAACGTTCTCCCCACCATCGCTGAAGCAATAGAGGACCAAGTCCTAAGGGTTTGTACTCAGCAGACGCCCTGATTGCAGCCTGACTGCTCTGAGGGCAGGGGAAGAAGCAGCCTACAAGCCACAGACCCGTGAGTCACAGACCACCTACCTGCTTTCATTCCAAATATTCCCCAAGAACAAATTTGGGGTGGGGCTGACAAAGTGAGCCTGCCCCAATGGGCCTGGGGAGTTGGCAGGTATGGGAGACGTGGGAACAGGAAGGGGCATTTGTTCCTTACTCTGTTTTTCCAAAGCTTTTTGCCTTTTCACTTCCTGGTGCTTGTTCCACAATTCTACCCCAGATGCAATGTAAGCAGGAGAGAAAGACAGAGAGAGTCAGAGACCGGTCAGGCAGACGAAATGGAAACCCACCCACCCGAGCTGATTCAGGCACAGGGTTACAAACCAAGAGATGAGAGATAGCCTCATTTGGGGAGTTAAACGATCAAGAGAGCCGATGTCTTTCCCCCAACTCATGAACTAAAGACTCCAGAACCCCGCAGTGTCGAGCTGGAGGTGCCCTGAATCAAGCCCTGTGCGCAAGGAAACTGATGCTATGGCGGCTGGAACTCGGGACTCTGCCACTCAGGACCAGCGCAGACTCCCTGCTCCCCGCGGCCTCCTGTCCTCCGCCGGAGGAGCGCAGTGAGGACTGCAACGTCCCAGCGTCTGGTGAGACAGAGGGTCCACCCAGGCGGCCAGAGGCCTCTTTCGGAAGCGTGAGCTCTGAGCCGTTCAATTCACTGAATGGAACAGAGGCTACTCGTGCAGGAAGTCAGCACCCCTGCGTGTTGCTACCCACAAAACCAACTCACCTTCAGAATTAGTGCCTGCCCTAGAGACCCATCCCGAGGGGTCATCTGGAAAAACGCCTCTGGTCAAGGTGAGAAAACATCAAATGGTCAAGAACAGGACAATCGGGGTAAAGGAGAAAGAACTCTGATCAGAGCGATTCTCCTGGGAGAACTTTAGCGTCTACTTAGCCCAAGGTCCTCATTCCCAGAGGAGACACAGACACTGGGAGGGCAGGACATTTGCCCTGTGTCACCTTCTCAGTTGGGACTAAAACTCCAGCCCTCCAGGCTTGCAGGTCCGTGCTCTTTCTAGTACATCACACCAGGCAGGAGAAAGGCAAGGCTGATGGGCTCTAGACTCCCCGCCAGACCAGTGTAGCTCCCCTAAAAAGCAAGCTGACTCCTCATTACCACTCCCAGGAGCAAAGACAATTGCTAATGGTCAGGGCAGAGGCTGCAGCTAGACGCGTATTACCCAGGGGCTGAAAGCCAGTTGGAGATAGAAAGATACAACCTGGATTCACGGTCACGGAGGGAGCAAGCCAGACCGAGGAGGCACCCAGAGAGCCCCCCGAGGCCCTTCCTGGGTGGGGGCAGAGAAGCACCAAGCTCTCAAGTCCAGGAAGGAAAAGTTTAAAGGAAAGCCGACTTAGAAATCTCTACCTTGAGTCCAGAATTCAAGGAAATGCAATTACTAGACATGCCCTAGAGGAGCAAATTCAAGGGCAGTGTGATGCCTGAGCGGGGGAAGCTGGCGCTAGAGACCCAGATGATTATAATTTACAGCGCAAACACAGCTATAAATTTCCTTATAGCTTCCAGGAGCTCGCATGGCCTCTCCATCAGAAACCCAGACGTAAATAAAAAGAGGGCCCAGGACTAAAGCCTCTCGAGCTGGCTGAGCCAGAGGCCCATCTTCCTCTGAGATGCAGGGCAGAGCGCCCTATGCGGTATAAGAGATCAAGCAGTCACAAGAAGTGCCATCACGGATGGACACACACCCGCCGCCCTCTCTAGAAAGCGAAGCATGGGGAAGAGAAAGGCAGGATTCCAGATGAATTGAAAGGAAGAGAGATTTTCAGAACCAGAACCCCTCCACTAAACCAAACACTGAGATACATACCAATAGATGCCACAAAATTCTCTTCCTTTAAACTTCTGGTGTCCAGTTCCTTAAGGCCCCTTCCTGCAGCACCTGGCGCCCGTGGCCCCAGCTGGGGAACCCGCAGCTGTGCCATGGCCTTTGGGTCCCCCCGCCCAGCCAGGCCAGGCTCCTTGCCAGCCGGTGTATGTGCACTCTCTGTTGGGCTTCTCCTCCGCTTATCTGGTTCTGAGAAAAAGATTGAATGCAGGAAGAGGTCAGAAAGAAGAATGCGGAGACAGAAATGGGCAGGGCCGAG